TACTCAAATGTTTTAAGTGCCCTGGATATACATGTCTCATGCACATAACTCCACGCTTTTACATTCTCTAGGGATAAGACAGACAGTCTGCATTTCCTTCTCTGCTACTAGAGGATCACACAAATGAACAAGCACATTATGAAGTGTTTGGGTTTGGTTTTAAATCAGTCTTCCAAAGTCTCAGTATGTGTGGCTCTTGATTCAAATGACAAACATCGTCTAACTGTGCTCCAAAATAACTGAAATACAGCTGTTTACATAAAATTTACAAGAGCCAAACTGAAAACAACAAACAAACAAGAAACCACTACCTTCTAAAATAAGGAGTAGTATGCTACTGGGCAAATTTACATTGACCAGGTTTTTCTGTGCTATTTTAAGATTCACTAAAATGATTTGTTAAGGTTGATTAAATACTCTGTCTTGCATTGCAAAGTGTTTCAATTATGAAAATAGTAAAATAATAAATATTTGGCTTTATATATGATAATATCTGGTTTATTTATTGTTCAGTCAGTACTAGGCATTAGGCTCAAACACTTGTACATGTAGTTACAAGACCAAATAAAACCATTACAATTGTTTCATAACCCATTCCTAGAAGGATTCAAAATTAGTATGAGAAATTCCAGGCACATTATCACCTAGATTTTATTTACTCATATATACCACATCAGATTTCAAATGTTAAGAGTTCGTATTTCATTGTAACAACACACAATGTGGAACGAAGAAGAGTTTCTCAAAATAATTGTTACTGCTCTGTAATCAGTATTAGGTTATTATTGGCTATAAAAATAAAAGGTCAATTTGATAAACAATGAAAAAACATAGAAGCTAGTATATTAAACCATTTTACATTTTTACTGAAAGTTTCAAGCTGAAAAGGAAAAAAATGCAGACATCAGAGTGTTAGGATTCCCAAAGGCAGTATGAAGAGATATACATACTGCATTGCAAACCTGCCAGTGTACTGTTATCTACTGCTCTAAACAGGCAGAAAAGTCAATGAATTTATAGACATATGCTATTGATTTCTTTGCCGTCTAATCAGGAGGTTCTAATTATCAGTAGAACCTCCTCAGGTCTTCAACAATCCTTAAAAATTAACAGCCATTTCAAAAAGCACTTAAGGATACTGTGGGGGGAGTACCATAACTTTGCCCTGATCTTATATCCTTCCACAGACATCAGCTTAAGAGACACAGTAGACAACTAAATAGACACTATAGATGGACTTTGCAATTGATCCAGGTAACTGTGATTTGTATTAAATGAAAGAGAAGCATTTGAAAGCAAGCCATGTGTAATATATGCTGCATACCTGTGGGTACTATAGCTTCAGATAAGCAGAAGCTCTTGCCACATACACAATTATGGGGTGAATAGCTTGTTCAAACATAGAGAGAGAACGGTTTTCTGCCAATGGCACGCCTCCTGTTCTGCTTAGGCTGAGCTAAGTGAGAAGTACCATTACAGAGCATACATGGCCTTTGCTTCATTAATTGAACAAAACTGTACAAATACTGAACGTGAAGGAAAAATACAAATTAGCAAAGGGAGGTTGGATGAGAAGTATAAAACCATATATAACTGGCTTTCAAATTTGTCTCCTCCGTAGCCAGGCAATTAAAGTCAAAGAAAAGAAACCACTTCAATTGCCCAGAGGCAAGTACAGGATTCTACAGCAAGGAAACAAAAAGAATGAGAAGCAACAATTCTTTTTGTCAGAGATGCTTTGCACAGAAAGGATTAAATGCACTTTCCTCATTTGGGGAAAAGTGGGTATATCTAAAATGTCTCTTAGTCAAAATCTGCTTAGTCCTGCAGGGCATATTTTCCCATGAAATGTCTTACCAAGAAGTTACTTTGGCAAGGCAGTCTGCTTTTCCAGGAAGTTTAGCAGTGAACAGTGATTAAAAATACCACAGTTCCAACAATGCTGGTCAGTTATTCTACATAACATCCCCAGTCTGTGGATTAGTGTTGTACCATTGCATGTTTTCATCAGGAATCATTATTATTCTTTCTGTACTTCCCTAAGAGTATGCAACATCTCCCAGCAGAACTCATATTTCCTCCTTGGACTTCTTGTAACATAAAGACAAAATGTATACTTGCTATCTGTGGCTACCATTGATGTGTTGCAGACTTGTCTAGACTATTAAATACCTATCTTACTTTCTTGTTCACTATCCCATTAGTGGTAGGTACCAGTGAAGACCACTAGAAAAAGAGAACCACTGTTATCAAATCACTTTTGCTAATAAATTTTGTTCCTAGTGTATGACAGTACAGAGAAGCAGCAGGAAAAGCAAAATGGAGAATGAGGGAGGAGAACAGAGGGAACGGGTATTCTTTCTGCTTAGTCAGTTTCTTGGCCACTTTCCTAGTGATTTGCCTCCACTAGGAGGATGTTTGTTCCCTGCACTAACCTAAAGGTTAAAACAAACATGAATTTAACAGATGGGAACCAGCTAAGATGCACACAGCCACTGAACAGGTAGTTTGTATCACAGACATTAAGAGACTAGCTAAATTTGAGCTGTCCCCATTTGCTTTCTAGATAAGGTAAGCAAAAATACGTTATGTAGAAACTCCTGCATTTCCTTCCCCAGGGTAACAGGTAGACTTCAGTTTTTCATTTGAAAAGTCTTTGAAGCTTACTTTTCTTTCTACATTCTTAGCAAGTATATCTAACTATATTATATTTGTATCTGGGAAAGGTCCATTTTCAGAACAAAAATGCAGACAAATATAATTACTTAGGTATTAACAAAGATTTCTAGACATAAGCTCTGAATAATGTAACCTGACATAACGGACATCGAAATATTAATAAATGATTTCAGCTCTAACACAGTAGCAGTCTAAGTTATTGTCAAATGTCAAGCTTTTCAACTCTTTAGTGAATCAGTTTTGATAAAAAACTATGATAGATCACACCTTTACAACAGTCCCTGCTTTCTTATGTAGATTAGTTTCTTTTCTTAGATTGCTTTAACTGGAGGTAAGGCTTTATAAACAACACAAATGGACATCAGTTTTTCTGTGAACTCCGTTATACTGATCCATCAAAAGGAACAAATATGTGCTGTTCTAAAAACATACAAAGAAATAAGTTATCCATGTTAAAGAAATGTTTAAGTAGTTCTAAACAACAGATGGGATTAAATGGATTATACAAAAGGTTACTCCTTAATATGAGTCATTTTAAAATGAGTGAATTCATCAGCCATTGAAGTAGTTTCCATTCAATCTGTAAAGTATATAAAGTGGACACAGATGGAGAACGTATTAATTTACAACTGAAAAAGCTTGCTCAAAATTTGACAACTGCTTAACTTCTATGCAAGTGTTAAGTAACTAAGAATGTGTATCTCATCATACATGTTAATTCTCTCTCTTTTTTCTCAAGGTTTGCTACCCTCAGTTTCAAAATCTCTGCAAAAGGTAGAAGATGACGATATGTTGCTAACCACATTAAAGACAGGAAAAACTCTTCGAAATGGAGATAGAACTGCAAACAGAGGAGCAATACCTTTGCTGAAGCATTATAAGACTGAGGACAGCAGTGTTTTGGATGAAGACGATGACAGAAACGTGAAGTTTTTGGTGAGTTTTCAGTTTTACATTTTGGCTTAATTGTAAAATGGATATTCTCTTTACAGCCCTTTAGAAAACAAGTACAATAATTTAAAGCAATAACCTGGTGAATATACAAAAATATCAGTTTAGCATACCATAGTAAAGAATAAATTTTCAACTGTAACTATCTAATTCCAAGATTTTAAATCTGTAAGCTTGGACAGTTGAATAACAGAAATCCAATTTTTACAGAACTATATGTAGCTAAAACATGTGGGGGAAAAAAACCTATATTGATGTTTGATTAAGTATGTCCTGCAGTAACAGGTTTTTAACCTCACCAAATATAAGACTAGTTATTTTATCATGTTCTTTAGCATAAAACCATTTCAGCCAAAGATGTAATGCAGGTTATTACTTTTAAAATATCATCTTGAAAGATAAAATACTTGCACTGCTGAGCAAGTGAACACAACTAACTTTAAATAAACTGCTATTCTTGTTTTCCCTTAAAACAGGACACAGGTTTCAGACATGATTTCTTAAATCATGTTATGCCAATCAACTTAGATAGAAAGCAACTACTTTATCTTGCACTGAAAGGAGCCATTGCTTTTCCAGCTGGCACTGAAATTCAAAATATTGAATCAATACAGGAAAGAGAGACTTCAGATGAAGAAAGTACAGTTAAGGTCCCTATAGGAAGACGGGATTTTGACAGTAAGTATATTTTCATTTTTACAGAAAAATTTCATTCTGGTAAAGTATAATGCAATGTGTATACAGGAATTTGATAAAGGTTCATTTAGAAACTCCACGTCATGTTTGGGATTTTCCACATCATGTTTGGGATTTCCTAAGGCTGATGAAATCTTGTGTTTCCAGTTTACATCTATTGTGATCTAGTGCACAGGGGAGGAAGTATTTGTTAAATTAATATTTCCAGAGTCCATAAAGAATTCTAGTTCTTTGATGACTTAAACTTTCAGATTTTTTTTTTTCCTGTAGTGCTCAGGTGTATGCTGGGAAGAGTCTATCGACCTTGTTGGCAAGTCTGAAAACTAATGAACTACACCACTTTGAAGACTAAACATTTTATTATGTAATGTGATTTGAAGTAACTGTGTTATAGTGTGGCTATACATATGCATCGAAAAATACTTTCCCATCGCATTGTAAAGGGAAACATAATTCATTACCAAAAAGAACATAGCTGTAATTACTAACAATGTATTGTTATCAAAAAATAAAAGACTTCTGCATAATCTAGACTTGTATTTGTCTAATATTAGACACAAGCTACTTCCACGTATTTAAGTATGAAAGGAAGGAATTAATGAATTTAACCCTTTTCTTGAAAAATTTTACAACTTCTGAACCAGTCAATGTACCACACATGCCAAAACAAAAACTTACAGACGAAAAAAGTGAGTTAATTTTGCCTGGCCAGCAATCAACTTATTCTTGCTTGCAGTTTTGCCATGTTTTCTTTTTCCACCAGTTTTGCTGTCCAGTTCCTTCTGAGGGTTGCTTAAAGTCTTAGGTCTTTTAGCATTTTTTTGCAAAGATAGTTCACTTTCCTTATCACAGACTACTTTGTCATTATTCAGATCCATCTGTTCATTCTTGGAGTTCTTATTTCTTGGCTGACAACTCGGCTTTCCCATTTCTGTGTAACTTCTAGTCTGGTGAACATTTTCAGAAATAGTTCCAAGCACTGGTACATCAAGACATGAATTCTTACCTTCTGTCATGTAAGAATATCAAAAAACACATGTGAAGAAACAAAAAGTTACCTGGGATTATTCATCTCTTTTCTATCAGAGGATGGTCATGTGATTTTTTTAATCAAAAGTAGTGCTTTATCAGTAAAACAAAACTATGCTGGTCATTGCCGTTACACTTGTTATGTATTCATAAGAGTACTGCCAGTTTAAAATGACATTGCACAAACACATGGAATAAAGTTATAAATCCACTTTCTTAAGTTAGTTGTTAAGATATTGAAAAAGATGCTTAAAGGAACTAGAAATTATATATATGATATGGTTTATATTGGAGTAAAACAAATTTTTCCCTTTCTTGAATGGCAAAAAATACAAGTTTCACTTAGCTTACCTTTGTAAAATAAGAAGATTACATAATATATGTAAAAAGTATTAACTTTTTAACCTCAAGATAGCATCAATACATACTTTTCAAACAGATTTATATTTCCAAAGCATTAACATTACAATTTGAATGCAAAAGACATTTAACTGATTATAGCATACACAGAGGAATGAGACGTCTTTTTTTCTTGATAACACATTTATACTTGAGTTTTACTAAAGCCTTGTTTGATAATATCTGAAATATCAGCTATCACATGTATGCAATCCTACTACAGCTTACCTGTGACATATCCAGCTTTTAAATGTTGCTTTGGTGCAGGATGTATGTAGGTTGGAATTTGGCTACTGCTGAGGAAATGCTGACCCTTTATTTCACTCAACTCATTTTTATATGTACATGCAAACTGAGATTTGATTGAAGATTGCTTCATCTGCAAATAGCAATCTGGTATTAGCTTTAATTATTTACAAAAGTTAAACACTTGCAAGATTAGTAAAATAATAAACTTCCCCATTATTCTGTCTTATAAGCTTTTAGATCACAAAATACCAGAAAAATGAGTATGCTCATATAAAAAAATATTCATGATGTAGTCATTTATGAAGTATAAAGGCTTTTACGGCTACTAATAAATTATTCTATTAAAGTCCTAAAATAATTTTAAAATCTTTTTTCATCTCTTTCAGAAAGTTACACATTAACTTTTAAAACTTCAACCTAAGTTTTTCTGTAAAAGTTAGCCCCGTCCTTTGATAAACTGCAGACTCTATCGTTCTGGGTAGTGTCATAGCTATTACAGTCAATTATCATACTTCTACAGGTCATCCTGTCAGAGATGTCAGTTCGTAAGTGCCAAGTACAGGATGAGTCTCACCACTGAATTTATATATAGAGCAAAGCATAATAGCAACACTGAAAAGGAATGATAGATAATATAAACTAACCTTCAATATGCTTATACCTAAAACTGGACTATAAAGTATTATTTCAGATCTTTCTTTGGCATACCCATGTAGTGTAAGTTGCCAGAAATATACAGTATTGAAGAACACTATTATATCTGTCTCTGCATGTTCATCTCCACCTCCTAGTCTTGGAAGCAGGGAACCCAGTCTCATAACACTGGTAAATAAAAATATTTGGTTCAACTACAAAAAAATTAAATAAAATTTTTCAATATATTCAATTTATACATATTTAATGGAATCAGTGGTCACAGGTCAAAGTTCCTCAGTTTACGCTTAAGTTACAGCTTCACATAAGCTTAGAATTTCAGGGTCAAACTTTGTACTTTCTGGCCAATTTATCACAGATGCTATAGACTCTGAATGACAAATTCTGCCCTTGCTTCCATTTCAAAGTCTACTGGGTTATACAAAAGATGCTGAAAGGTATAGTACGGAAGAGATAAATACAATATATTAGGATTTTTAGCTAATAATTCTATTAGAACAGCACAGGTGAATTCAAATAAATATGAGCTGAACAGGTGCTACAGAACAAATATCTGGGAAAAGAAGCAAGAAACATTGTCACAAAATAAATGTTGCTATATAGAGATAACAAGAATGATTTGTTGAATAAGAGATTTACAGCCACTTTTCTGATTAAAAAGTTTGCATTATGCAAGTCTACCTCTCTTCCTAACACAAGCATGTTTAAATCTTATAGTTCAAGTTTGACCCTTATAAATACATTTTTCTTCCAACTCAAAATCTCAGATTTAGACAGAAGGAAAGAATACATTCCCAGAAGCCTCCTTTCACCTGGGCCTTCATCCACAAAACTCAGTCACAATTTATGCTACTGTCATCAGATACTGTTTTCATCTATATAAGCTAACAGACTCTAGCTTTTTATCACTGAGATGCAACTTAAGTTTATCTTTCACGATACTGCCGCTGGCCAGGTGAACGCACCTACAGTCCTTTTGGAAAAAAATATACTACTTCTTTAGAGAAATATTGTTTTTCTCTTTCTGACTTAGTATGTCTCTACATGTATAGTTTTACTTTAAACTCAGTATTCCCTTCAAGAGTTAAAAAGACCCAATTTTTCCACTTGTCCATCACTCCCAACTGCAATTTCTCTCTATCACATAACAGCCTGAGAAAGAAAGGCAGATTTAACAGGGAGAACTAGCCAGCCCGACTCTCAACAATTCTAACTTTTTTTAAGTGTTAACCTACTCTGTACTTAAAACACTTACCATAAGGCAAAACTATATACACAGACTTTTACAAGGTTTCGTGTGGTTCAAGTTTATGTCTTAGCTCAGAGTCATTAAGCGCAAGTCATTAACTTTATACTCTTTTCAGAAAGTGTTCAGAGAAGCTATACACAGAATAAGCTTAGGAATTTGAAATAGTTAAAAATGCAACTCCAATCTAGTTTAAACTTAATCAACATTCTATTGTACAATTACAGTATTTAGAATATAAGGGGCTTACATTTTCTTTAAGCTTCAGGCTACTGTAATATTAATTAAAAACATTTCCTGTATTTGCTATGTTTCTTAAACACTTCATCTTAATCCTTTAAAATTCCCTCAATTCTTAATTATTGCTCAGCAAATGACACACATCAAAAATTATGCAACAATAACTTGGACAGAGTTCTATCACATACTCATATTGCAAGAGGCAAATAAGATACAATTTGTACTGAGTTGATGAAGATAAAATAAACACTGCATGAAGAACATCAAACTTGAGCAAGAAAGCCTGATAGTTACCATTCTATAACCAACAATAAATCCAGTTATTTTTTGGGACATCGTGGTTTCTTTTTACCACCCTCATCCAACACTTCACTAATTCAGTTTGCAGGGATTAGAATAGGTGGAGTCAAAGGACAGAATTCAAGCTCAAATATTGAAAAACTTGCAGCACAAAACCATCTGTCTGTTTCAGCTTCACTGAAGCTTGAAATATGCCTCAAAACTTCACTCTGTATTGCATCACATACCATTTATTAATTTGCAAACAGTATACAAAGCTCTACCAAATGTGACTGTTTCAGCTGATGATTTATATATACACCTTGATTACTACTAGCAAGAGTGCAAGACTAAATTTGTTGAAGCAAAGTTCCCAACTAGTCTAGGAATGTATATTCACTAGTAAAAACAACTGTATTACACTGAGTGAGGTAGCAATAAGTAAATTTTAATAGCCTGAAGGCAGAACAAAAAGAGCACAAGTCTAGCACTGAATTAAGAAGTAGAGCTTTACTGAAATCTTTATTAAAAAGAGCGCAACATAAAACTTGATTGAAGCATATATAATGAAGCCTGTCAACATCTTGAAATGGCTCTTAGAAATTACAGTTTTTACATTAAATTCCCTGAAAGCCACTGCTTTGGAGGGCACCATCCCAATGACCCACAGCTCTGGGAGAGCAAAAAGATGTTGGGAGCTCAATTTCCTAATCAAGTAGTTGCACACAACTGGCATGTAATGAACTCAGACTTACTATCCTCTCATCTCTTCACAAGTAAGAGGAATGCTGCTGTCATCCCTACACAAAGAAGGAAAATTTGCTCCATTTGAGAAAAAAGGGTTTGCTGATTCCACTGTTCTGCTGGAAGAAAGTATGATAAAAATTAAGACAGTGTTTCAGCACATCTAGGTCAATTAGCAGTCCTATTGAGTAGATAAAGCACGACATTTTCCCCACCTTGATTTCTATATCTAGGGAAGTTTCAGTTGTTCAAGTTGTCAATATAAAACATTCACTTTTATATGAAATATTAATGGTGCATGCTCTATTTATTTCTAAAAGTTAGTTGATAATCTATTCCAGATCTCCTTCCAGCATCTGCATACAGACAGTACTGCCAACATCTAGTCAGTAAGAAAGTCGAGATTTGGTTTTTATACACTGGAATGGCATAATAGAATTTGAAAACCTACATCAGTAACAACAAACACATGTTTTTATTTTCTAGCCAAACAATTAGAGTACTATTTGGAAGAGGAAAAGAGATAAAAAGAAAATGTCTTTTCTCCATCCTTACCCTTTTCCTTTTAGGGGGAAAAAAAAAATATTAAAAGGTAAGTTGAAAGAGAAAGGGAGTGCAAAGGGAAAAGTAACAAAACAATAAATGGTAAGTATCATTGCCAAACCAAGGCATCATGTTATTCAAACATGGAAAACGTTCTGAGTATGTCAGGTAATAGCAAGCTTTTATTGTACTGAAACTATCAAATTTTTTTAGCATGACATTATACCAGCTTTTTGCTATCCCAAATCAACCCACTACTGTTTTGAGAACATTTAGCCTTAAATTACCTTATTACTGGGTTTTGAAAGTACTCAAAACTCACAGCTACGGATCCTAGAAAAGTAGTTTAGGAGTCTTGTTAAAAGAAAAATGGTATTTTCTACACAAGTGTGGTTTATCAACTGACACTAAAGTCTTTCTTCTGATTTTGTGCTGAACATAACTTTTTTCTCCCCTCCCCCCCCTTCTCTAGATGCTGATTTTTAGCATACTCCATACAGATTGAAACTACTAGTCAGCTTAATGCTCACCATAAATATATTCTACTTAGAAATAAATATTTCTTGCTAAAATAGATGAGACTACTACCTGAGGAATATTGTTTTCTCTATTACTATGAATTTTCTGCTCACAGTTATAGTGGACATACAGAAAACTCTTGATAACTTCCTGTTGATAGTTTTCCAGGTCAGTTTATTTGTACTGGAATCACAAATAAGCAAAACAATTCTCACAAGTAACAGCATTTAGAGAACTAAGCAATGAAAAATAACAGCAGCACATGAAGCTAGATTTTTAGTCATTTCATACAGACAAGTCACATGAGAAAGGCAGACTGGGATTTTTTGCTTCGTGAAGCTTTTTCCTTGGATGGATTTCTATACACAGTAAAATTACAATGAACTTCAAGCATGCCAACATTTGTTAGAGTTCTTAAGCCACAAATTCTTTTTAAAACTAAAACTACAGTTATGTTCCCAACTGGAGGGAAATAGTGCCTCATATAGGAAAGGTTGTCTCCAGTTACATTCAGAAAAAAACATGCCAAACTACTGAAATTCCTTGCAGCTGTTTCAGGGTAAATGTGTTAACAATGCAGCAGGATTTCTAAAACAGTGTATCAAAAGGCTAAAACAATCTTAAGTTTACACAAAAAGATCTCTTACTCTCTCATATATTGCATGCTCACAGCCTAATAGCTTTGGTTCATTCCTTCTTAACTCCTGAAGTTCTCAGTTTCACCCAGTCCCACTAGTTCAGGCACAGTTTTTTTTACCTACAGCTTGAAAGTCCAACTAATCTTTTCTGGTGCAGAAGAAAGATGAAAATCTTACTATGACATATTTTTGTTGTCTTAAGTTGCTCTTTAACCTACACAAAGCAGGTGATTTTAACAGTCCTTCCATTCCCCACTCACCAATAAG